TGTGACATGTGACCTTAAAAATTACTGTGATGGTGAAAGAAAATGTAATATAACTGTTGATGATAATCATTTCCCTTCAAATATTTGTCCTGGTTTGGAGAAATATCTTTACTTTGAATATCAATGTAACGACACAAGTATGCCATACAGAAAAATTTGCAATTGTAAGCATTATATAGGCAGATTATATTTTGCTTACGATTAAAGTGCTCCGGGACAAGTTTTGACCTTAATGCACAATGCTATGGAGTTTATTTGTATACTATGTACGTTATCAATTTAGAAAAATTGAAACAAATTTGAATTTTTGTCGGGGGGCTTCACCAGGCGTGGTTGTTTATGCTGTTTTATCTTGTATGGTTTAATTTAGTGTCTTTATATATTGTGACATTTAAATTGTGTCCTCAATATTTTGCTTAAGTTTAAAGGTTTGGACAATTTCTTGTTTTTAGTTTGTTAATGCAAATATTGTTCGCAGAAACATCACTTATTCCAGTCAATTTGATTTATCAAATCTATTTTTTTTAAATCGTTTGGCATTTCTATGTAGGCCAAAAGTGACATTTACAATTGCATTTGTATTCATACTTTCAGGAATTCACACTGCAGAATTTTCATATATACTGCATAAATATACAAAGATATATTCACCACAATTCATATGAATTGGGAAGCTAAACGCAGCGCTCACCTGTAAAAAACGGTATTTGTTCTGGTTTCATTAATGATTCACATAATCACTTAGACAAATTTTGTTGTGATTCGTGTTTACAACACACAAGTAAAGTTCTCAGTTCAACTTATTTGCCTGCAGTTCATTGCCGACCTAAAAATTAAAATCAAAACAATGCATGCCAACTTTAACTGTGTCCATCACAATGTGTAAAACATTTCTGGTTAAGTGCTTTCAAACTATAATTTTTTTTAAATTATTGTCACCTTCTGTGTTGTTCTGATATTCAAACTCCTTTTATATATCTTAATCACGGAGGGGATTTGACATATTTATGTTCATAAAACCATTTCTAAAAACACAGATTTCACTTTAAGATATGCGCCATGATTATAATTAAAGGAAAAAATAATTTCGATTTGTGTAGTTATGGATGTACGACTGTCTAAGTCGAATCTTCCGAACGAAGGTGTCGTGAATGTTATTACCAAGTTTAGAAACTTCACCATTTGCAACAAAGGTCTTTTGCACAAAATAAAGACGATTATTTGTAAACAACTTGGTTATCCTACCGCAACATCTGTGGAAGGCACAATGTCACTATCATCTTTGATGCATCAATTGTTTATACCTCGAATTGTCAAATGTGATGCTGGAGTGAACGATTTATCTCAATGTGCAATCACTCAAAATAATGATTGCTCTCACTACTCGTACGTTACATGTAAGCATACTTGTTCAATTTTTTGACTGTATTAACGTATTGCAGGACACATTTGTATGACGTTAGAAAAAGTTTTGAGCGAAGAATTTAAGGAATGAATGTGTTACTTTTGTGTTCTCAACTTACATCTGTCTTTTGTTAAGCATCATGATTTGCCTCTATCATCAAGACTTACATCTGTCATCTTAGTGTCAGTGTATTTTACGCTGACTTGGAGAATTTCACAATTCTTCTTTTACATAACAAAAGAAATATAGCATCACAAAATATAAACGATTGCTACACTTAAATAATAAATAATTCAAACAGGATTGCTGCGAATACAGAGGATTAAATTAATTTTACTCTTGCTAGTTCATTTCGTGCTTCAAAAAATGTCCAATTATCATTGCTCTGCACGATGATTGACGTTCGCTCTTTAATGGATTTAGATCGCCACGGTATTGTTGTTATTAGAGAAGATACTTATGGTTTCTTGTCATAGCTGGCTTGATTCCAGCTGGAATTTAACCTTATTCAATAAAAGCATGCAAAATCAGTCGTATTCGTCCAATACTTCTTGTGCTGTTTTTCTTTCTTCAGAAAACAGTTTTTAATTTTTCCGATTTTTCGTGAATATGGAACAATATGAGAGTGCACCATTGCTCTTTATCAAAACAAACCAGTTCTGTTGTAATGCATTTTAACAAAATCCTTTTCTATTTAAGGTCATGTTTGTGATAATCCTCTATTAAAAAAAGCTGAAAAATTCCCAGATTCTTTGTTTACTGCCTTCCCAAAGAGTCGTAATGCTTCTAAAGCAAGAATATCCAGTGGCAGTTCATGGTGTGCTTCTGCTGCAGATGGCAATCATTATCTTCAACTGAATTTTCCGAGTCTTTATACAGTTAACGTTATCACTATCTTTAGAGACAGTTCAAGTTCAAAATTTGTAAATAAATATCACTTGCACACAACCATTGATGGTGTGAACTGGAAATCTGAAAAATCCCAGAAGGTAACGTTAGAATTTTCGAATTTGTATATTGTAAATTTCATGAGAAATTTAAAAAAGGAATGAAGTTATGTACTAAGTAAACTTTTAAATTGCTATTTATATACAACCTTGTGTGCATATGTTGATTGAGTGGTGTAGCCGGCACGCAAAATTTCTGGTTCTATCTAAATTTCAGATTGTTATCATTATTCATTTCTTTCGAGATCTATTGTTTTTACAGTGAGTGAGCTCTGAGACATTTACATATAGCACAACCAAATTGTGGGCTAGCTACGTCACTGTGTTGATTCCCCTGGTTAATCCTGCACTACGATGGACTCTTTAATTTGATTATAAAGTTTAAATTGTAGCTATGTGCATGATTTGAAGAGATACATAGACAATACATAAACTACTCTCTTCTGGAATGTGTTAAACAAACCTGGCTTTTCTCTAACCTTCTCTGCAAATACACGAAAATAATTTTTTTGTTTTATTCCAGATTGATCTAGGAAACAAAAATGGTTACAATGATGCAGCTATAGAAAAGTTTTCTGGCGGCCTTAAATCCAAAGCTTTGCGAATCTTTCCATTGAAATTTGTTGGTGCACCGTGTTTACGAATTGAAGTTTGTGGTGGAGGTAAGAGATGGAAAAATATACCAGGTTTATTTTCCACATTAAGCACTTAATTAATCAATATATAAAGTTTGTTTCTATGAAAATTAATTAAACATGTGTTAGTTGACAAAACTGAACAATTTTCCATGAAAGCTGAAGTGTTAGTTTCTTTCTCTGTTGAAATAAACTTATTGAAACAAGCCTTTTCAACATGCAGTTAAGTTTAACACGTGTTATTAAAGAAAAAGGTTCAATTTGTAAATTTTCTTTTATCGTGCAGACTTACTTCCAGACAAACCAACAGATCTCATTGCAACCAAATCTGCATCGAGGTACCTTGAGATATCATGGAAACATCCCAAAAAAACTAGTGTAAAACTTGGTACAAATATCTCGAATTCTCTTACAAGATATCTATTGATTTTGCTGAAGGATACTATGATTGTTTTTGATAAAACTTTGGAGGTAACTGACAAAAAACCGTACAACATTACGAATCTTATGAATGTTTTTATGCAGTGCGGTGTTTTTGAAATTAAATGAGATATGATCTTCGCACTTAGCTGGACAATTTAAGCAATCGTCTCAGGACCTGAAAAAATCAGGTGACTCTACGGGATTCGAACCCATGACCTCTGCGGTGCCGGTGCAGTGCTCTGACCACTGAGCTATGAAGTCACACAGTTTTTAAAAACATTCATATGACATTCATTTCACGAGAAAACATGAGCCCAACAATATTGACCTGCTCACCACTGTGTGACTTCATAGCTCAGTGGTCAGAGCACTGCACCGGCACCGCAGAGGTCATGGGTTCGAATCCCGTAGAGTCACCTGATTTTTTCAGGTCCTGAGACGATTGCTTAAATTGTCCAGCTAAGTGCGAAGATCATATCTCATTTAATTACGAATCTTGTTCCTTACGCAACGTATAAAGTTAATGTGACCGCTGGCAACTCTGAAGGCTTTGGTAGATCAACTACAGCTACTTTTAGAACTGCTGAAGATGGTGAGTTCATATCAGTTTTTGTGTATACATATCGGCTGTTATTGCATTTATGGTGTTATTGCCATAAACGACTTTTGAAAGCTCAAATCTTTTCTGGTCGACATTTATTTCAATCATGTTTTTCTTATACTGTATTATATTTAAGTTAACGACAGTGTACACTTGTTAGGACTTCTTTCTAAAGTGTTTTTAATGTTTTACATGAATCTTTAAAACATATGTTTTTATTTTTGTTTAGTTCCCGAAGGTCCACCTTTAAATGTTAAAATTGTCAACGTAAGCAGTTCATCGTTATCAGTTACGTGGGAGCCACCAGATAAGAACAAAACAAATGGAAAGGTAGTCAGTTACACTGTTTGTATTACACATTTGGAGAATGAAACCTGTTCAATGAAGTATATGATCGAGGAACAGCGTTTGGATATAAATTATTTGAAACCAGGGACAAAATATTATGTAGTGTTTCAGCGTCTACAATAGTGGGATCTGGATGTTACAGCAATGATACAAGGGTATTTACAAATGGATGTAAGTTGTCTATAATTTATGCACAGGTTTGTTTAAGATGATAAATTTATTCAAGTATATTAATTTAGTGTTACCTGAATTGTCCACCAAGCAGATTGGAAATGCGTTGACTTATTTGTTGCAAAATCCAAATTTGGAATACCGGTAACTATGTATTTTACTAAATTTTTTATAAATGAGCTTAAAGGAACTTAAAAGTATTTTTTGAGTTTTTCGGATTCATGTGGGATCGAGGTGGTCTAAATATCTCTCTGGGAAAAGCTTTGATGACTCGTCGCTTTTCTCTGGTTGTGCGGATACTTGTATAACATATATTTTAACGATTAACAAAAGCAGAGATTATGCATAATTTTCAAAAAATATTTTGCTTTTAATTTGCAGATATTTCTATGTAGTCGCAATGGAAGATGGCAAAGAAGAGAGTCGATTGCCTTCTAGCTTTAAAAACACAGACTTAGGAACATATTTTGAGGCCATATCTTCCGCAAAACCAATGCCGTATATTGCTGCTGTAGTCTCTCGCAGAGACTTTAAGCCTAATTTTACACTTGGTGATGGTGAAAACACAACACAGCGTTCCAATGGTGAAAATTATTATAATGGCCCGCTGAAGCTTGGCACTAACTACAAAATATTTCAGCGCATTTTCATTAATGATCAGGTGCGACCTTTTATTTACGTTTTAACTTCATTGATTGCTGCAATTTTTATTCAAATATAAATGTTCACTTCGTTTCAGGGTGATTATTATTCCACTGACTGGAGTCCAGTGGCAGCAACTGCCCAAAAGCACAAGTCTTCAGGTTTGTGTTTGCTTTCAATAGCTTAAGGGAAGTGTATCGATGTCTAAAGTGCAATGATTCAAGATCTTTGTAAATCTCAGTACAGACAAGTGTCAGAAATTTGGCAGTAAAAAAGATGAGTAGAGATATTATTTGATGATACAGCTGATTTAATTGCAACAAATAACTTTCTTAGTGATTTTGCGTACTTCTTCTCTAATTTCATTGCGTTCCAAACTTAACTTATACCAAAAATAAATCATGAATAGTTAACAGGGATGAATACATGGGGTGTGAGAGCGGTTACACCCTCAGCTTTAGAAAAATGATGGCTGAAAAACAACATTTGTTGGTAATGTTATGATTTGTCATTCATTTTTATCTTGTAGACGGTGGAAACACTGGTGTTATTGCTGGTGCAGTTGTAGCGGCAATTTTGCTCATTATTCTTGCCATATTCGTCATTCTTTTTGTTAGGATCAATTCAAACTCTGCTACCGTTCAGTGAACTGCGTATTATCGTCATTCGATTGCTACTAAAATTTCTCAAAAGTGGGGGAAGTTGAATTGAATTTTTTTCGACGTTTTCTGAAATTTAGCGTACTATAAAAGAATATAATTAAACATGAAATTTTATTTCCTTTTTAACTATAAGAGTAAACGAGAGTGAATGATTCTAAACAGTATTTGAAAACAATATGGAACATAGCATCAAATTTTTAGAATAAGGATATAGTCAATATTTGAAATAGGTAAACGGCTGTAATACTTTTTATCTAAATACATTAAAAAAGAAATAAAGTTAAATTACAAACAAACATTGGCGTAGCATGCTCAGTAATTTATGTTAATAAGAGGGGGGTAGGGATTTTCATACAATCATGTATTTTGGAGTTAGTTGAATATGTATGAATATGTGCGCACTTTCTTTTCATTAATTTACCTGACGTAGGAAACACGGACTTTTAGTGGATTGAGTTTACTCTGTTACCAACTTCGTTAGTGTTAAAAAAATGGTACTTTAAAGCATGTTCTTGTCCTTTCTTGTTTTCTCTTCTTATCGTCATGATGATATTCATAAAAAATATCCAAAATTAACGAAATAATTGAATTTCCTGATGATTTGATTGCGAGAGGGCTAGGAACGTTGTACTTCGGCTGTGGATTAGTGATTAATGAGGAAGAAGAAAAGGGTTGGAAGCAACGACTCGAGATTTTAAAAAACATTAAAAATGTATGTTTCAGAAAGCTTGATTGCAAAACACATCCTTTGGTTGAATACTAAGGAAGGAGCCGAGTGGTTTCAAGTTAATTGGTGACAATTAAATCGTTAATAAATAGTTTGTTGTTAACCCCTCTCCTCGTTTTTCTACACCGGCCTGAACACCACCGAAATAGTGATCTCTGTTTGAACGCGGCCATAACTTACATTTGCTTTCAAATTATGCTTTATTTACGGAAAGTATCAACTTGCTACAAATACAGAAATACAGAGCGATTACAATGAAACATAAAGGTATCTTTATGAGGGTATTTAAGACTTGTGCGAATCAACGAATCAGGCTATAGTCACGGAAAACATAGCCGATCCTCTCCCGAGTATCTCCGGTTTATACGTCACGTTTACAGATGACCGGAAGTGCCCGGTGTTTCAACTTTCAAGAGTTCACTGATGTCATGTAAAATGGCGGATTGTAAAAATTTGGATAGTGTTGTGGTTACGGACGAAATTTTGTCCTCAAAAAGGTATTGATTTCCTTTTCAATATCAATTGTCAGTTCTTAAATATTTCATTACATTTTTGTTCACTTTGTACTGCGTTGGCGTTAAGTTGACCTTTTAAATTGACAATCATTAGTCACCCCAAACAGGTGATTTTCATCTTGATCAATTAGCTGGGAAAATGTAATAGTCAGTGGCGAAGCAAACGTGTTAATTAAGGGATGGGGAGGGGTGGGTAGATAACAAATTAATATATGCACGTCTTTATGCATGGAACACAATGGAACTCAATTCGGCAGGACATGCATATGTGGAATATATGGATGTGTGCTCACCCCCCTCCTGTTCATTATGCATATTGCTTTAAAATTACTCGTTGTTACTGGTCGTGTATGAACTTTTTGAGTTGCGTATTGCTGTTGTTTTATTGTACTTTCAATGTTTGTCATGTCGTTTTCGAAGAAACTTTCATCATTATTTTTGTAGCAGTTATTTCGCAATGGCGAGTCCGAATGTGGTCGCGTAAGTTATGAAGTGAACGGAGTAAGTACTGTTTGAACTTCTTCCATTTTTTATGCATCTTCACGTTGCTAACTTTTATACCTAAGTCATTTTTTTTTTTTGGGGGGGGGGGTTGAGATACAGAATTAATGTAAAAATGTAAAATATAAAGTATCAAACTTTTTACTCAACATCTTGTATTGAGCATTTATTGATTGGGCAATAAATACAGAACACACCAGTGGGCAAAATAGTTGCTTTGGGCAAAAATCCCAAAATTGAAACAGGCAAGAAAGTTAGTGACGTGACGATAAGGGAAAGTGTAGACTACTGCCTGCAAATTATTGACATTTCCTTCATTTTTTTGAAACAGGTTTTGGCCCTTATTTTCTATTTGGTTTTGATCGTTCCCTCCGCACCATAGAAAGCTTGCTATGCATATTTTGCCATATTAAATTAGTTTTTTAGGCTTTTTGACATGCGTACCTACATAAACATTGACCACCCTCCCCACCCCCACAATTATCGAGGCTATTATAGCGCCACTGTATTCTCGCCTTTGATAAGTTAACATTATACTGCAATATGGGATTGCATAATACAGGTTTGCACATTCGGGGGTGGAGTTTAAAATGAATATATAATACAGGCTTGCACGGTCAGGGGGGTGGTGTTTGAAATCATTGCATGATAAATGTCTGCATGATCAGGGGTTGGAGTTTAAGTTCATTACATAATACAGGTCTGCACGGTCAGGGGGGTGGAGTTTAAGATCATTGCATAATACAGGTCTGCACGGTCAGGGAGAGGATCTTTATGATTCGAACCTTTGCTCTTTTTTTCAGGAATTATTTTTCCTACCGTATCATCAAGCTGATGTTTTATCAAAGTCTCACATCTACAAAGGTGATACTGTGTCTTTTTACATCCTGGAAAACAAAAGGTAAATTATATTCTTTGCTATAGCGTCGAAAGCTTGTACTGTTTCTCTAGATTGTATCACGTGCTTCATCACGTGCATTACATTACGTGGTTAAGCAATGAATGCGCAGTCTTAAGAATGTTCTTTCTATTTTGGTGAAGTCTTTCTCCTTATTTCTACGCTTTGATATGCTACCCTACCCAGGAAAACACTTTGATTAAGGCTTATAACATGAACGTTAGTTTATTATTTACACGAACCACATCCAATTTACGAGCCATGTCCAAATTGTTGTTTGTTTGATGCACTGCTACAGTTGATAAATCTCTATAGAAATGGACAATGCTGTGCCGTGGAGTTGTTGCTGCTCGAAGCTTCGCCTCCTGTTGACGTTCAAGGAATTGTCTGCTCGCTCAAGGAATCGTTTGGTTTCATCGACAGAGCTGACAAAGTGAACGAGGTTTGTGTTTGGGCCGTTGCATTTGCTAACTGTAGATCAATATTGATAATTTATTGTTCAATACAAAATGAGTTCTATCAATTATTTCACTTATGAATACGATTTGATCATTTGTAATTTATTTTACACACGATGACTTCTGATAGGCATTTGACGTAGGATTGGAAATTTTCGGTCTGCAAACTACTCAAGTGACTTAACTGACGTATTTTTGTGATAGCTGACGACAGCAACAAGTTTATGTTTTGAAATTCGTAAAGTTTGTTTGTAAAAACTTGGCCAATTATTATGACGCTACATCTACGTATGCACAAACATGTAACATTCGTAAAGTTTGTTTGTAAAAACTTGGCCAATTATTATGACGCTACATCTACGTATACACAAGCATGTAATAATGCTCCCGGGCTTAAACCTTTCGCTTGATCAAGGTGAAAATTAAAGACTTGCATTTTCCTCTTTGTGAAGTCTCGCATTTTACTCAGATAAATCGAGAAAGGTTCACCTTTAGAGAAAGAAAATATTTCTGTATATCTTAATGCAATTCGCGCAAAAAAATCTACTGAAGTTATATACTATATTTTTCTTTTAGATATTTTTCCACTACAGTGAATTTCTTGGGGATATTGGTGATTTGTTGATAGGAGATGATGTCCAGTTTGTTGTACAAAATAGATATGTACGTTAGTTATGTATTATGTAGCCATTACTCAAAGTCGGACATTCTCTACCCCCGTATGTACTTATGTCAAGCAATTACTCACAGGGTAAGGAAGTTGCAGTCTCAGTGGAGCGTCTACCACAAGGTACAGTGACGTTTGATGATGTTAGCAAAGGCACATTTCAAGGCACCATCGAGAAAGTACATTGTTGGACAAAAAGACAGGAACCGTTAAATGGTGTGATATTGTACAAAAGAAGCGATGGTAGTTCACAGCTGCCATATTGGGAGTAAGATATCTTGGGGGAGTTCACCGTCTTGACTGGGGATGTTGTTGGTTTTAAAATTGTTACAGGTAAATATGGTTTGTTGTAACTGTTGGTATTATTTCAACATGTGCAAGATCAATGAGAGATGATTTTGTTGATCTAGTGGAAGAACAGTTTAAAACTGATCGAGATATCTGTTATATATAGATAAAGTTACCATCGATAAACCAGGCAGGAATCGTACTTAAAATGTAAATATTAAATTACTAGGTTAGTTTAGTTTAGGTTTCCTTCTGTAGTAACACTGAATCAATAAGAGCTTATCTTTACTGGATCTTTAGGAAGAAGAGTTTAGAACTGATAGAGATATCTAACATAAATAAAATTGGTTTAGTTTAGGTTTGTTTCTGTGGTAACACTGGATCAACAAGATATGATCTTAACAGGATCATAAGAAAGAAATGTTTAGGACTGATAGAGATATTTAGTAAAAAAAAAAGTTAATTTAGTTTAGGTTTCCTTTAGTAGTAACACTGGATAATAAGATATGATCTTTACTGGATCATTAGAAAGAAAAGTTTAGAACCGATAGAGATATTTAGTATAAATAAAGTTAGTTTAGTTTAGGTCTCTTTCTGTAGTAACACTGGATCAAAAAGAGATGATCTTTACAGTAAGAACTGTTCAGAACTGTTAGAGATAACTAGTATGAATAAAGTTAGATCAGTGTAAGTTTCTTTCTGAAATGTTAGTCTA